GTCCATAGTGCAAACTACTGAAGTGGCAACGATGGCACTGAAAGTCATGGAGTTTTACTTGCCAACAGATCTCTGTAGAACCCACAAGTGAAAATATGGCAACAACGGAAAGATCAATTTTACATATCTACAAGCCAATTCAAAATTTCTGAATCAATGAAGAGCTATATTACTTTAAAACTGGTCATAGTGGCTACATTTTCCATCATTAATGTTATTTGAGACCACAATCTTGTTAAGTAACGTACGATATGTGGTAGATACAGCATCGCTAAACTGTCTCAGAATTAACAATCCACAGGCGGTCATATACAAGTTAATATACTTGGCTACAATGCAACCTTCAACAAGATTATTTTTACAATTATGATGACTGAAGAGGCTAGCAGATTTTAAATTCCAGTGCATATTTAAATGCGATTTAGAAGTGAATGTCAAGAAATGCTTGTTATTAGCAAAGAAAATATTCATAATCTAGCCTGTATTCCAGAACAATAAATAAGCCTGGCAGATAACGTTTACCTTTAATCAGTTTGTCTCGTTATGATCTTAACAAACGATGTCTCAATGTCACAGAGTAAAATAAATTACAAGTATTTGAAAACTGTTTTAAGGGAAAAATTTCAAACAAAACACCAGAAGGAGAACGAAAAAATTACACAATGAGAATTTATTCATTTGCTAATTTTCTATTACTGTTGAGTATAGAATATTAATTTTAATTAATGACATCATTATTGGTCAAATATGTAGATTCAACATAAAAGGGAATAATAAACTGTAGCATTATAGTGGGGGTATGTGCTGAATAGCAAATACACCAGTAATTGACATGGGTGGACAATATTAAAATGTATATTAATGTTGTAGATGTTGGACATATAAACTAAATAGAAGCGGTTCCTGATCTGACTCACTGGCAGGCGTTGGATTTATATCAGAATATTATCACTCATGTCAGTGACTAACTAACTAACTGGATGACTCAGAAAAACCAAGGGTTCATCAACGAATTTACAAAAGCTCTCCACTGGACCCTGTCCTGGGTCAACAAAATCCAGTTTCCTTCAACTACTATCTCCCATAGATCCCGCCTGACATTATCCTCCCATCTACGTCTAGGTCTCCCCAGCGGTCTCTTCCCTTCAGGTTTCCCAACCAGTACCCGGTGCACACCTCTTGTCCCATCCATGCGCGCTACATGCCCAGCCCATCT